TATCTTGGTTCGCCGAGATGTGAGTTCGGGTTCCGACTTTGGGATCCAATCAATAAGAAGATCGTGAGAAGCAGAGATGTGATCTTTCATGAGCATGAGAACATTCATGACATCTCGAAGCCCAAAGTCCGGGTTACTGTCAGACGTGAAGAACCCATCCCTCCTGTCCGAGCTGAAGCAGGGGGAGAAAATCAAGAGAATGAAGGAATTGATGACCAGCAACAAGCTGAAGATAACCAAGACATTGAGGTCCGAGTTGATGATGAGATTCGAGATGAGAATGATGAACTGGGTTCTCAAGCTGAAGAACAGCCGAGATATCCAACTCGAGAAAGAAGACCCTCTACGAGATACCCATCTGATGAATACACCGTTGTTGCTGAAGACGGTGAGCCTCAGAGTTATGATGAGGCTGTGATGAGCTCAGAGAAAGAAGAATGGAAAAAGGCAATGCAAGACGAGATGAAGTCTCTGCACGAGAATCAGACTTATGAGCTGACTGAATTGCCAAAAGGAAAACGAGCTTTGAAAAATAAATGGGTCTACAAGATTAAGAATGAAGAGAACGGGCAAAAATCGAGATACAAAGCCCGGATTGTGGTGAAAGGCTGCAATCAGAAGAAGGGTGTAGACTTTGAGGAGATTTTTTCTCCTGTGGTGAAAATGACCTCGGTCCGAACCGTGTTAGCCATGGCGGCTTCGATGGACCTCAAGGTAGAACAAATGGTCGTGAAGAAGAAGACTTGGTATGTCGATTGAAGAAGAGCCTCTATGGCTTGAAGCAAGCACCTCGGCAGTGGTACAAGAAATTTGAATCATTCATGATTGATCATAAGTTTGAGAAGACTGAAGCCGACCACTGCGTATTTGTGAAGAGGTATGACTGGAGATTTTCTGATTTTGTTGTTATATGTTGACGACATGCTTATTGTAGGGAAAGACAAATTGAGGATAGCCGCTCTGAAAAAGGCGTTGAGCTCGTCCTTCGCAATGAAGGACCTCGGCCCTGCAAAGCAGATTCTCGGAATCAAGATCATCTGAGATAGACAGAAGAAGCTACTGTGGCTGAGTCAAGAGAAATATATTGAAAAGATTCTGAAGAGATTCAGCATGGACAAAGCCAAAACAGTGAGCACCCCCCTTGCCGGACACATAAAGCTGAACCAAAAGTAATGTCCGAGATCTGATGAAGACAAAGATGAGATGATGAAGGTCCCGTACCAATCCGCCGTCGGAAGCTTGATGTATGCAATAGTTTGCACTAGACCCGACTTGGCATATGCTGTTGGAATGGTAATCCGGTATTTGTCAAACCCCGACAAAGAGCACTGGGAAGCAGTGAAGTGGATCTTCAAGTACCTCCGAGGTACGACCGACTTATGTCTCTGATTTGGAGAAGGCAAAACCGAGTTGCAAGGCTACTCGGATTCTGATTTAGGGGGAGACGCCGACTCGAGGAAGTCGACTACATGATATTTGATGAGATTTGCCGGAGGAGCTGTCTCTTGGCAATCAAGACTTCAGAAATGTGTTGCACTATCGACAACTGAGGCTGAGTACATTGCCGCTACTGAGGCAAGCAAAGAGATGTTGTGGATAAAGAAGTTCCTCATGGAACTCGGCCATGATCAAGACAAGTACGAGCTGGGTTGTGACAATCAAAGCGCAATCCATCTTGCGAAGAATTCAACCTATCACTACCGCACTAAGCATATTGATGTGAGGTATCACTGGATCCGGGATGTGGTGGAAGGTGGTGAGCTCGAACTCGTCAAGGTGCACACTGACCAAAATTGGTCCGACATGATGACAAAGCCGGTTCCAGCAAGAAAATTTGAAGACTGCTGTGAAGGAGCCGGGTTGATGCTAAAGCCGACGCATTGAAGTCGGATGGGGAGATTTGTTGGGCTTCCTTCTTCAATGCTAAACCCAAGCCCATTTGACGGGTTTCCTAAAAACCCTAACCCTAATTTCCACCTCCTCTATATATACTCATTAGTTGTGGGTGGAGGCAAGGTCAGATTTGAGAGAACAAATTTGAGAGAATTATTTGATTGTTTGAGCAAGGCTTTATGCTTTGCATTTGAAAGATCTCTAGAGAGAGAGTTTGAGAGAAACATCTCTAGGGTAGTTTGATTATCACCATTGTTGGAGAGGTTGAGTTAACCACCACATTGGTGTATTTGATTATTTGTAACCATTATTTTCATAGTGGATTTTTGATCTGGACTAAGTCCCGTGGGTTTTTACTTCTTCATTGGAGAAGGTTTTCCCACGTTAAATCTGGTTGTGTTCTTCTCTCTCTCCTGTGTTTACGTTTTGATTTTTCCGCTGCGCTGCCTGACCTGGTGAAGTTTAGGCTGAGGTATTGCCGAGATCCGAGATCAGGATCTTGTTGATTGACTTCCGCACAAAGGCCCCTGAGCCGAGCTTTAGGGAACCGATTTTTTCCCAACAGCTTCATGAGCCAAATGGTAGTAATTGAGTTAGCAACAAGAAGCTGAGCAGTTAAAAGCAAAGGACTTCGATTCGATTATAACATGTCACTTTTGAGAAGTGTTTAAATATCTTTATTCATGATTAGCTTCGCATTCTGAATTAATCTGATAACTACAGCTCAAAGAAATAAAACTTATGAAAATACTGGAAAGAGTCAACTTGTTGAGATATATAGTCCCACATTGATTGGATTGGCAACTAATATGGCCTTTATAAGGCCTTGGGCACTCCCACCCCTTGAGCTAGCTTTTGGGGTGATGACCTCAAGGTTCTTTACATGGTATCAGAGCCTCACCGTCCCCCACTTTAAAGTGGAATTAAAAATAAAATAAAAAAAAGCACAAAAAGGTAAACCGAAAATGGGCCTGTGCAATTTCCACGCTTATAGCCTAAAGGGCTCTTGCGTGAGGGGGCGTGTTGAGATATATAGTCCCACATTGATTGGATGAGCAACTAATATGGCCTTTATAAGGCTTTGGGCACTCCCACCCCTTGAGCTAGCTTTTGGGGTGATGACCTCAAGGTTCTTTACTTATCTTAAAGAAATAATTAGTAATTGAGTTAAGTAAAAGAAAAATTCACTTCACATAAGTCATGACTTGGATACTGAAATCGAGTTTGATATCATTAAAGCACGTAATTCTTAAGAAAAATTGTATGGAGAAATCTCGTTTCAAGTATGCTTAGATAAATCGAACAAGAATGATCGCGGGAAGCAAAATTGAGAGACATGAATTGTAGTGTTTCCGTTTTTTCTATATTTGTTTATTGATGAGTGTCATCTAACGGGGCCCATTGCCTCATCATATCTGACGAGCAGGTTTGTAATTACGTTCGATACTCTTAACATGGATATAGAGAATTTCATATATATTTTTATAAACTCAAAAACATTCTAGAAAAATAAAATAAGTTTTGATTTAAATTTATCATGTATATTCTCATTCACTTTTATAAATTAATTCTACTTTATTTCAAGGTCTTTCGGTCATCTTGTCCCTTAAATTTTTATTAAGATATAGAATTTGAACCCCTAATCCAAACAAACTCTTGATAATTCAGTTGTTTGGGGTTCTCTTTTATTCTATTTTCATTTTATGAAATCACCTGGCAGTATATCAAATACGTTGCTGAAAATAAGGAAGAAAATCAATTGGGGGTTTGTGTCTCAACCATACTTCTATATATATAATCTTTACTTTTTAATAAAAAGAAAACTTGCAAGTTGATAAAAATTTGAAAAAAAAAGTGCTAAACTCGCAACTAAAGCTTTTAGCTGTGGACTTTAATAATACCCGTTCCTTTTAACAAATACTTATTTTGACCATCCTTTTACGAATAAAATGTTTTGTTTCCTAACAAATTCTTTTTACAGACAAGTTTTTGTTCTGCAAATTATGACTGGACAATGGTGAAGTTTGGAAACATTACCTTAATCAATCGATTTAGTAAAAGACATGACTTAATAAGGATGAATAATTTAATAAATCAATCATATTTTATTGGTTAACATATGCTACTCTTTAGAAATCAGTCTAATATATTAATTGATAAATCCAAAAAATTAATATAGGGGTTAATGCTGTTTTTTTGACTCTTTTGCCCTTCATTAATTAATTAATAACCATTTTGGACCTTATCTAAAACTATCCACCAATCTGCCCGTCTTTAATCGATTAACTTGAATATTTAATCGATTAACTTGAATATTTAATCGATTAAATGGTCAAAACAAGCAAAAATAATTTACTCAAGATTTAATCGATTAAATATCCATCTTTAATCGATTAAGAGGATATTTAATCGATTAAAACTTATATTTAATCGATTATATATCCCTAATAAGCTTGAAAACATTGATTGAATGAGACAAACAAGGAAAACTCGCTACATTCAAATATATATACTACAATACGAGAAATATTGTTCTCATTAATCTATGGTGCAAGTTATATTTACAAACTTTTTTATTTAGAAACTCTTACAAATTACATTAAGTACGACCGGTCATACTTTAATCATGCAGTGTACGACCAGTCGTACTTAATGTAATTTGCAAAAAAAATTGTAAACGAATCTTATCCCTTAATCTATGATATATTTAAAAACTTGAAATTAAACATCTTTGTTGGGGCCGGATGGGTAATTAATATAGTTCCAGTCTTGCAATCGTGGGACATAGGAAGGACATGATGGGAAAATGAGGAGAATATACCGAATCAGCGCAGACCCAAAAAAAGAAAAGAAATAAAAAAAGAAAAAGAAGAGAAACGGTCTGGTCCGAGACAATCCCTGACCTTAAAAATCGCACATATTTAACTTCCAAAACTGACGCTTTATCTTTTACACCAATCCTTTTCTCTTATTGACTGTTTCTTTCTTTCTTTCTTTCCCTTCACCTTTCTATTGTGTTTTTTTTTTTTCTCTTACCCATTCTCTCATAGTATCAGATTTTCTCTGACCCTCAACTCAACCCCTTTGTATAACCGAAAAAACAAAAAATGCCTGCGACAACAGAGAATAATCAAGGTTCTTTTCTGGGTCGAATAAGCATTCGAAGAAACCAAGTGATGTCAATGGACGGTAACCACGATCAAGAGCTAGAAGACCTCGAGCTTTTCCAAAAGCACGTTGGTGACCGATTCACCGATCTCTTATCATCCACGACGGAGGACCCCACCGGCGATGCCCTTCTTTCCATCGCGTGGCTCCGAAAGCTCCTCGACGAGTTCCTCTGCTGCGAAGCCGAATTCAAAGCCGTTCTCATGATGGGTCGCGACCCTTCTCAGATCTCGAAGCCACCCCTCGACAAGCTCCTCCCTGAATTCCTCGACCGCGTCGTGAAATCCCTCGACGTCTGCAATGCCGTCACCCTCGGCCTCGACGCCGTCAAGAATCTCCAGAGGCTCGCCGAGATTGCGGTCTCCGCTTTAGAACAGAGGCCAATCGGCGACGGCCAAGTTCGCCGCGCTAAAAAGGCGTTGAATTCCCTCGTCACGGCGATGATGCACGAAGACGGAAACACGAAAGGAACCGAGAGAAGCAGGTCGTTTGGGAGAAGAGGTGGTGGAAATAACGCCGCCGCGAATAAGGACCGTGGCGCGGGGAGTTACCGATCTCTGTCGTGGACCATGGCGAAAAACTGGTCCGCTGCGAAACAAATCCATGCCATGTCTTCCAATCTCGCTGCGCCACGTGGCGGTGAGTCATCTGGTTTGGCTTTGCCTGTTTATATAATGAGTACTGTGTTGGTGTTTGTTATGTGGTCTCTCGTTGCGGCGATTCCGTGTCAGGAGAGGAACGGGTTGGCGACTCATTTTCAGCTTCCGAGGCAATTGGGCTGGGCCCAGCCCATAATTGGGTTGCAGGAGAAGATTGCGGAGGAGTGGAAGAAGAAAGAGAAGAAAGGCTCTGTGGGATTGTTGGAAGAGATGCAGAGGATGGACAAGCTGGGACAGTCACTCGTTGAGTTTGCTGAATCGTTTCAGTTTCCAGCGGAAACGGAACGGTTGGAAGAGGTTAAGGCACAGGTTGAAGAGTTGGGTGATATTTGCAGGAAGATGGAGGAAGGGTTGGAACCTTTGCAGCAGCAGATTAGAGAGATCTTTCACAGGGTTCTAAGGAGCAGGACTGAGTTTCATCTTGCGTTGGACCAAACTGGGAAATTGCCTGCACCCACTGTGTAAACAAAGTTCAATAACACAACAGCTCCTTCCTTTTTTTTGTTTTGTTTTTGTTTTTTTTAATCCCATTTCAGATTTTGGCTCCTTTTGGGGTTAATTTTATGTTTCTTTTCGAGATACGGAAAGCCTAGTGATCCTAAGAAAGCTTAATTTGTTATTGTCTTCATTAACTAAATTAGGGCTCTCTCTCTCTCCTTTAGCCTGCGATGTACATCATTATAGGTTTTGTTTTATTTGCTTAAGGAGGATGACTGCGCTCACTAATTTGTGGTGACCGGCCAAGTTGTTTAATTTTATATGAACTCTTGTTTCTTGATTTTTTTTTTTGTTTCTTTCCTCAATTTTTTACCAGCTCTTTGTTTGTGCATTCTACAAACTTTCCATTCATTATTGAAGCGATGTGACTTTTATTATTATAAGTGCAAATTATTTTTAAATTTACAATGTGATAAATAAGTATGTATCGTAGCATACATGTCCACAAAAATATTTAGAAGCCACATTTTATAGGAACTTGAGTAATATAATATTGGGTTAGATTATTTTACCTATTTTTTTTTTCTTCTGTCTACTACTTTAAAATATAGATTAGTTATCTTTCTTTTTTCTCTTGACATTCTACTTTAACGTTGGAGAATAATAGGTAAAGATAGGCAAAAAAAGAAGGTAAATAGAATAACTCATTCCTATAATATTTACACATTTTGCACATTCTCATACCTTGTGTAAGTAGTAGGGGTCCGGTTATTCTTTTTTTCTTTCCAAAATAACTGTTTTTCATACGGTTATTATTATTCTTATTATTTTAAAGGTTTGATGTTTGTCATTTTAAATGACATAAGTTATATCATTTTAGGAGAGAGATAAACACAAAGAATGAAAATCATGAGAGAGCAAGTGGGTATTTTTTTTTAATTTAAATTCTAAATAAAAAAATTATTTTGTGTCTATCTCTTCTTAAAATAACATAACTTTATGTCATTTAAAATGACAAACACTTTTCACTTATTTTAATGGCTAGCTTCCAAATAAATTATTGGATAATACCTTAGCTTAATTATATATTATTAAATGGTTCAAATTATGTATATATCTTATATAATTGGTCATTATTCCAGTATTCATATTTATTTCTTATGTCTGGGATTCCGCTGTCAAGCATTTTTTTTATTATTTAAATTTAAAAACTATTAATTAATTACTTACTATACAATTTATATCCACAAATACTTAACAACTTAATTATAATATTGGAAAATATAAGTCTCATATTATAGGATATTTGTTTCTTATATCATAGATCGTCCGATAGTTGCCTGTCATTTTTTTTGTGCCACCACTTTGTGTTTTAATATAAGATATGCACTCTTGCGTAAACAAGCCCTATAATATTATATCCTTTAAAAAAAATTATACCCGAGGTATCATTACCTTACCATAATTTGTCCAACCGTCCTTTTTTATTTTTTTATTGCTTCATAGCATTTTTGTCCCACGATGATATGATCCTAGAGTTTCTGTAGGAATTAATTGAACTGGTAGAATGAGTTACGATAGGTTCTAAATAGGTGTTTTTTTTTTAATTATTGTTTTCCTTGGAACAAAGAAAGTATACTTTTTTATTCATATTCTCATTCAATCCGCTCAAGCCACTTAACTTTTGAGTATAGCCTTTAAGATTAGTTCTTCATTAATTCAACTGATATTTTGGACATTTGTCATTAAAAAAGAGATGAGACTAATCCTCCAATCGAGATTTAGAGTGCAAAGATATCATCTCTAGTTCCAAAAATCATGCCAAAGATCAAATACACCACATGATCCTTGAGATACAATTCACTACTAATTGTGTCCACCCCTCGAGTTTAAATACAGAAAAACATGGGCTAGTTACTTCTCTTGGGTGGTGTTTGGTTTGAGGTATCTGAAAAGATGCCTATGCAAATGAAAGTGACAATATTAAACACCCATGTTTGGTAGCTGGTTTCTTTTTATTTCCCTATCTATTAGATTTGCATAGCTTTCACCATTTTGTAGTAGAAAGCAAGCATTTTTCACTGTTACAAAAGACAAATTACATGTGGTATTTCATACTTAGCAAGGGAAATGAAGGATTGACAAATGACATCAGACCATAATACCCTCGTCACTCCAATTTCTGATTCCTTTATTGTGCAGGCCAACTGTGATGATATCAGTTTGGCACAACTTGTTGAAATAGGTCATGAAACCGAGCAACGCTTTCTCAGCGAAAACATTGACTGCTTATAAACGTTAACAAGTAAGTAAACAGTGTTAAAAAATACCAGATAAGAGTTACAATGGAAGCATAGAAATTCATTCGCAAGTGTGGGTTAAGGTTTACTCACTGAGATTATTCGATTATTAGAGAATTCAAGTGGTTGAGAAGAAAGAGCGCAACAAAGGGTTTGAAGTTCCATCACTTGAAGGAATGCAGCTTCTAATGCTAGTAAATAACAAGCTTTGCTCATACGTAAGAAGTGAAATTACTCAAACCTGTTTGTAATGGAAAGGAACTCAAATTCGATTCTTTACCACCACCTCTAGATCCTTGTTTAATATAGCTATTCTGTACATTGAAATAGAAAAATGATAAATAATATATTCAATGCAATTAACAATCTATTTATCATGGTTAAATCAGTTTTAAAAATAGGGATATTTTTGTAATTGCAACTTATTTTCTCATCTATATTTTATCTCAAACCAAACATAGACTTTATAAAATTTACCTAATTTTCTCGGTAAATTTTTTTCAACCAAACAACTTTTTTTACATTTTCCTATCAAACTCACTTTCCAACCATTTCCACAGTAATTACATTTTCCTAGTATTCAAAAATTTTCTCCTCAGCCAAACACCCCCTTATGTTTTTCTTCTTTTTATTCATATTGTTGTGTTAATTTGTAATCTTATTAGCAGAGAACAATCAACATTTTTTTTAAAAAAAAGTTCTTTACAAAATAGGTAAGTTCTAGCGCAAAATATCGGGTTTCTCAATTCCTAGCTACTCTTGTAAGGATACCAAGTTTCTCAAATTGGATGTTTTATTTATGAGATTTATTATTCTTATGTTTCATAAGATAAAATTTATCTTCTACACACACAAATTCAAGATAGATCATACTTTACTTTTTTTTCTCTTCCCTGAAATTGAACTGAACCTACAAAAATGAGTCTGTAAGAGAAAATACTTATCTCCTACTGCATAAGAAAATTATTACCCTTTATTTATATCAGCAAGGCTAGACGTGCAAGCCATTACCTCATTGTTTCATTATTGTCTTTTGAAAATTCCGTCGTCATATTTAACTCAGAAAATTAAGAATGAAAATTGTTTATCCATGACATGTCTAATGAATGCATCAGCAAAATACGGAAAATCGTAGAGGTTAACATGTAAAGAGAAATCCGCATTACGTGAATTATACGATACTATGAGTTCAATTTCTTGAAAACAAAAAAACAAACATGACCATTATTTTAGGGGTTGGAGAATTCTAACGTTACATGAAAAGAATTTTTTTTTCCTACATGCATAAAAAATATGTGGATTCTACTAAATTTTTTTTTTCTCTTTTCAATGGAACTCATATATTTATTGTGTATGTATATGAGAAGATATTATTCTCATGTAAATGAGAAGTTTTTAATTTTTTTCATATGTCAAATCTTGGGTATGGTATGGGTACTGCTTTTTTGGTTTTTGATTGCGGTGACCATTACTACAAAATTAACCCCGGGACAATGTCACAATACAGAAACTTTTTCAACAATTGTTTTTTTAAAGGAAAATAGATCTATCATATTGTAAGAAATTGGTTGTATCATGCTATTGACACAACCAATGTGAATTCCATCACTTTCTTTTCTTTTCTTTTTATTTTAAAAGTTGTGGGATTCACATTAGTTGTGTCTATAACATGACACAACTAATTTCCTACAACATAATAGATCTATTTTCCTTTTTTAAAGTTTGAACTTTATTCTTCCTTTTGAGAATGAGTTATCTCACCTACAACCTTGGTGGTAGATCAGTAGATATGTATACAAAAGAAAACTTTTGAATCAAAATACGCAAAGTACACTTCAGTAGCAACACTAGCTTTTGGCACAAGTTTTCTCAATTCAAAGTGTTCGACCTTCAGGTATTTAACTGTTTTTTACTCTTAAGTGGTCTATCATCTATCTATGACCATATATGAAAGCAACTTTTTTTTTTTAACCGAACCTAATTAATTCTTTGAAATCATTCGATTTCTCATATTTTCACAAGCTTCAATTTTTGAATCAATTATGAGAGTAATTTTAAGTCGGGACTTAATTATAATTAAAATTCCTTATCTCTCTCTTCAAAGATATATTTAATGGAAATCAAACTCATCCCGTGAAAACAACCTATTTTATCCTTCGAAACTTTACGCTCAACAAATGGTAGAACCTCGTTGAAAAATATCTGATGCTAAAATCAAATTAGATAATTAAAATGAAACTAGATACTTTTAATTGGACCAGTATTATTTCGTGTGAGTAATGTACCCGTTAGGTCACGGCTAAGTGAACTCAAAGTTGGGCTGGGTCTTTCTGTACTGAGTTTTTGGGCCCAAATTATAGGTGAACGGAAATATTATAGTTTGCGACGACGACGTATTGCTCTTTGTTGGGAAAACGAAGGACACCTCTAATGGAGAAAATGCAATATATGTCTAGACGTTCTTGAATAGCATTTCTAAAGTTGAGCTAGTGTTGAATCTGGATTTGAGACGTGATGCCCCTTCGACCTCTTCTAGAGCCACCCTAACACTTCCAATTCAATAATTAAATAATTATTATAATAAAATATTACCTATAAACGCATCCACGGTCATGTCGTCTTCAGGTTCGTTTCAGCATCTAGACTACTCTTAGTATTTGATTGCTGTGTCATTTTCCGTAACCGATTTCTGTTTTGGGATTGTGCGTAACAGTTCGCAGACTCACAATGGCAGCGATATCGAACTCCTTGTCACTGAAGCAGGGTCTTTTTCTTGGGTGTCCTCGAACAACATCTCTGACTCTGACTCTGACTCGAGCTCGTCCTTCTTCCACTTCCCTCCAATTCCGAAGATGTTACGCCGCTTTCGCCAATGAGAATCGCGAGTGAGTAACGTTTCAATTTTTCTCTTTCTCTCAGTTTTAGTTAGTTATTCGACTTTGAGTTTTGGTTTTCTCTTTTTCGCTTCTTGATAGGTATGTGATTGTTGGCGGTGGAAATGCCGCGGGATATGCTGCTCGCACTTTCGTCGAGCACGGCATGGCTAATGGCCGCCTTTGTATTGTGACCAAAGAGGTTCCGATTTCTATGTCTGTAGCTGGAATACAAAACAAAATCGATTTCTCTTTTTAATTATGATTTTCAACTGAATTCAAAAATGTTACAGGCATATGCACCTTACGAGCGTCCCGCACTGACAAAAGCCTATTTGTTCCCGCCGGATAAGAAACCAGCGCGCCTTCCTGTAAGAATTTACTCCTTTTTCTGTTGTTTCTCAGTTACTCAACCATATCAACTCAATCAATTATGTTGCTATCATTATCGTTCTGTATTATCCCTTGGCTTTATATAGCTCATAGCTGCATCTTTTCTTGTCTGTAATAATACTTGTTATATGCACTCTTTAGGGGTTTCACACTTGTGTTGGATCCGGTGGAGAAAGGCAAACTCCGGAGTGGTATAAAGAGAATGGGATAGAGGTACTCTCTTTAATGCCCTTGGAGTCATTTTTGTGACACATTGATTTGTGAAGTGATTAAAAAAAAAAAAGAAGTGGAATATTTGTCATGATTAATATCACTGTTAAGTGTGCAAGTGATATACAATGGACATAGGGTTGCTCGAAATTGTATGACAAAAAACTCATTCTTATCTAGTGTGAAATGGTAGCACCGCCGAAAGAGTCTTAATTTAATGTAACTTTGTAAGGCGGAAAACGATCTCGTACTTCTTTGTTGTCATCCATTAATATCGAGATGATAAATTTAATGCTGTTGCTTTTCCTGTCCAGATGTTGTATGAAGATCCAGTAAAAAATATTGATATTGAAAGTCAAACTTTGACAACAATTTCTGGAAAGCTTCTTAAGTATGGATCGCTTATTATTGCTACAGGATGTACGGCCTCGAGGTATCAGTCTATTTGCTTTAGTTCACCTTCTGTTGTTCTCATAAAAATTGGTGCAGGAAATCTGATTAATCAACTTCTTTGATATTAGGTTTCCAGAAAAAATTGGGGGAAACCTACCTGGTGTTCACTATATCCGGGATGTTGCGGATGCTGATGCACTGATTTTATCATTGGTAATCTCTTATACACTCTAACGTGACTTGTTGTTCCAATGATTTGATTGAATTTTACATTAAGGTGGGAAATCTCTTACAGTCCTTACAATCATTTCATATAGCCATTCAGACTATACTTCTTCTGTATTTTTAATCTACAATGTTTTGCCTTAGCATATACTATTATGTCGTATATCCTTTCATGCAAATTGAGAAAGTTGCAAATTCTGTATATTTCCTTCTAATGTTACTTTAAAGAAGCATATTGTTTTATATGCTTACAGAAAGAAAAAAAATATTTGGACATACATTTTGTTCCTCATTATGATTTTTTCTTTGGTTTTTAATTTTCAGGAAAAAGCAAAAAAGGTTGTAGTTGTTGGAGGTGGTTATATAGGAATGGAGGTTGCTGCTGCAGCTGTTGGTTGGAAACTTGATACAACAGTATGTGTTTTTCCTACATCCATATCTCAATAACTGATTTTCCGGGTCAAAATGCAAACTTCCTGGCCTGACCTCCATTATTACCAGATGATGTGTTCAGTTTTTCCAAAAGAAGTTCTTCAATTTGGTCCTCTGCATAAAGCTTAGAAATGTCTTGCATTAAGTACATTTTGTCATATATGCTGAATACTGAAATAATAAGTATGTGGCATCAAGTCTTCCTAGTCACTATTTTGTTGAATTGCCTACACTGAATCAGGACATGGCATAACAAAATGACTTGCCTTACTGTTTATGCTTGTTCACATTGCTCTACCAAGGACCCTGATTATTATCGTGCTTTCAGCATCATTTCCTCTTGTTTAATGGTTGAAATCTGGATAAGCATGTGACTTTGAGAATCCAATATAAGTTATTATTAAACTTATATCTGTACCTTAAACCTGGTTGGTCAGTTTGCGAAGTTTTTGACCTACTGACTCAAAAATATTGGTATTCCCGTGAAAAATAGATCATATTTCCAGAAGATCACCTCTTGCAAAGATTGTTCACTCCTTCTTTAGCCCGGAGATATGAAGAACTATACCAGAATACTGGAGTCAAAATCTTGAAGGTATTTTGTCCTTCCCCTTTTTTCTTTCTTTTTTCCCATTATTGTAACTAGTAAGTAGTTACTAAAGGGTATTTTTGATATTTTGTCCAACCATCCTACTCCATAACTTTTTCCCTTTTTCTCTATTTCTGTTAAAATCTTATATTCACCAGGGTGCCTCCATAAAAAATTTAGAAGCTGGTTCTAACGGACAAGTAGCTGCTGTGAAACTTGGAGATGGGTCTATTGTAGAAGCTGATACGGTAATTATATTTTTTATATTCATTAGTATCTGCCTGTAACTTTTTTCTTGTTAAAAATGTACTTCAGTAATACATAAATTATTCGATAAAGCATGGAGGTATTATGTCTCCATTAGACACGAAGGAAAATGACAATGAATTGATTACTTTTTCCCGCTGGTTTTCAGGTAATCATAGGCATTGGAGCAAAACCTGCTGTTAGTCCCTTTGAGGGGGTGGGTCTGAATACCGATGTTGGTGGTATACAGGTTAGGCCAGTGGATAACAACATATTTTGAACAAAATTCAAGATTAGAAATTGCATTTGAGTTTTTAAAAAATAAGTTACGGTTAAGAGTCTTTTGTTATGATGCTCCCCCCCTCCTTTTTGTCTCTTCCTTTTTGTGCAGCATAGTTTTCGAACATGTTAATCATCAACTTTTGGAGACTATGTTAGAGCTACCCACATTTGCAGATGAAATTTCGAGGGAGCCCAAAATTATATGTTGAAGGACTTGTCTGAATCTATTGGTATCATGTATTTCAGGTTGATGGTCAGTTCCGGACAAGCATTCCTGGAATCTTTGCAGTTGGTGATGCTGCAGCTTTTCCTTTAAAGGTACATGATTCACTTGCTTTTGAGTTGAGTTTTCATAATTCATTCTTGATCTGACATTTGTGCTTTCGGGAAACTGGACAGATCTATAACCGTATTGCTAGGGTGGAACATGTAGATCATGCTCGTCGCTCTGCACAGCACTGTGTGAAAGCATTACTCAGTGCACAAACTCACACGTATATTGGATCATATGTTCCTGCAATATAACTTCCTGGAAATCATTTTTGTTTTTTTGTTGGTACCTGCTGATTTAGCTGAATTTCCTTGATGATTTTCAGGTATGATTATCTTCCATACTTCTACTCAAGGATTTTTGAATATGAAGGGAGCCCTAGAAAAGTATGGTGGCAGTTCTTCGGAGACAATGGTGAAGATTAGTTGATTTAGTTCCAAATAAATATCACTGCCTCGCCTTTTTTTTAATTGAATTTTATCTCCTGTTGCTCTCTCACTGTAAATTCTTCTTTGGACAGTTGGAGAAACAATTGAAGTTGGAAATTTTGATCCTAAAATAGCTACTTTCTGGATTGAATCTGGTAATGAGGTCCCCCCCCCCCCAAAACAAAAAAATAAAAAACTGTGCCTCCCTCCCTCTCTCTCTATACATGTTTGGATTATCTCTGAGCGTGTGGGGGGATACTTGCATGCATGCATTCATGTGTATTTGTGATTGCATGCATATGCTTGTTTGATCTTTGATTTGCCGTTTACTAAGAACGTGATTACTTGATGCCGGACAGGTAAGCTGAAAGGAGTTCTCCTTGAAAGTGGGAGCCCTGAGGTACTTGGCGCTTTATTTTCCAACATTTAACATTGTAGTAGATATTAGAATTCGATATGCACATATGAAGTTGTTTGCCATAACGAAGTAAGTGCCTTGTTCATGGAAAATTGGCAAAGTTTCTTTAGTTTTTATTGGTATATACTAATGCATTAAGATCTTAGTCAGTGTGTCAGCACTCAGCAGTTATTATTGTTAACTTGGCTCTATTAAGTCCTAGACTCCTAATTCTATAGAAACACACTTTATATTCAGAATTAGTCCTGTACTCATTTTATATATTTATGTTCAAAATCCCTGTTAAATGAATCCGACTTTTTTTTTTCCGCACTCGCTTAGTTCGCCAAAACTGGAAATCTAATGCTGAGTTTCTTATTTATTTATTTTTTCCGTAGGAATTTCAGCTCCTGCCTAAACTTGCCAGAAGTCAGCCTCTGATTGATAAAGCCAAACTTCAAAATGCAACTTCAGTGGAGGAGGCCCTAGACATGGCTCGGGGATCCTTGCAAGTTGAAGCCGCTGTCTAATATAGATCTTGGTAACATCATCCTGTAATTCATCTTCTTTTACGGCTAGATTACCAGTGATTATCTGTCATCATCCGAGTAGGGATTGCCCCTTATAGAGAGAATAATTTTTATGGTATTTTCATATTGGTCACGTGGCATTATGAATAGTTTTCAAGTGGAATGTCTCATTTGGATTTGATCTAGCGCCATATGGCGTCTACGAAATTTCTTAATAATATAACCTTTGTCTTGTTGCATTTGTTGTTGATGTGATTTATGTTCTTAACTTGCTACTGACCAGGGTTCTTAACTTCGGTTGAAGGGCATCTTATAGGAAATTAAGTTTATTGAAAGATATAATCTCATTTAAATTTCAAATCCTTGTAAAATGATTCTGTGGCCCACTGTAAATTTGTGAATTGGCATGGATATCAATAGTATAGTGTCTAAGAGAAGTAGTATCACTGTCACACTGATTCGTTTGTTGAGTGTAGTTGGCCAGTACATAACCGCTGCGATATATATATATATATATATATATATATATATATATATATATATCCAATTCTTTTTCTATGAATTTGGGTTTATGTGTCTATAGATCCTATTCATGGATTATTGCAAAAGCTCTATTTGCCTCAATCAGTTTATAAGTCTTTCTTTTTGTGTATGGCATTCATTAATTCGGAACTTAGTTTAAAAATTATATTAGACATAGAGGATAATCAATCTAAAATGTCACGAAATTTCTTACCCTTCGTGGATGCCCTCAGCACTGAGGAACGTGTACTACGGTGTATGTTTGCCTCGGATCATAGAATTAAGACAAAAAAAGGAAACATTATTTCAGTAGCAATGGCTTAGGAATGGAAGAACTCCGTTCACACTAGTTTACTTAATACCAAGGTTGTCAATGCAAACTCAGAAGGGTGAACCAAAATCGTAAATCGCAGAATCGTAACACGGATCGTAGAATCGTAACACGAGATACAAATTATATTTATATGCATATAAAGTAATATAATAAGCAAATTTAATTCAACCAACCAGCAAAATAATGTCATACAATAGTCATAATCACATAATGTCTCAAACATATAAAGTCATAGCACAAAAGATCAAAATCCAAAACAAAATATCAAATATGTTTTTCTTAAAATCCATATTCAGAGTTATGTTAGTTATATTTAATTTTTTTACTTAAAATTTAATATCAAATATGTTTTCTTTTAATATCACTATTGATTTTTAAATAAAAAATGAGTTATTAATATACATACATAATGTTAAATTTAACTTTCATGTATTATAAGTGTAAAATATTTTACATTCACATTACAAATTTCATATAATTATCAATACAATTAAATAAAGTAATAAAACATGATTCTTTTTTTTTTTTTTGGAAATACAATGAAAACTAAAGCAACATAAAAAAAAGCCCTATACTGGGCACAATCTTGGGAGACTAACTCCCCTCAAGTCATTACGAAGCAATTCCAAACAAGCCGTTGGAGGGACATCCAGCACAATCAGTTGTCCATCCTGATGAGGTGCATGAGTAGCAAGCCAATCAGCAACAAAATTGCCTTCTCTATAAGTATGACTAAGCTGAATAATCCAGTCTCTTTGAAGCATGCTACGAGCTCGGATGATTAAAGCAGAAAGAGGATGACTTACGTCACACCCTTTTCTTATAAATTCCAAAGCCACCTTGGAGTCACCCTCCACAAAAACTCTCCTAAATCCCTTATGCCAAGCCAGATCCATACCTGTCAAGAACTCCCAAATTTCCGCTGAAGTAGAAGTACCACTCCCAAGAAATTTTGTAAAACCAGTTAACCAGTTCCCAGCAGCATCCCTTATGACTCCACCATATGCAGTCCTTTGCCCACTGTCTATACTGGAACCATCCACATTAAGTTTAACATAACCCTCAGAGGGAAAATTCCAGTGAATAAGACGTTCCTCTCTTCTAAGCTCCTGATGACCAATCTTAATAAGGGTTTCATTAGCCAATTGAATATTACCACAAGTATAGGTAATGCGCCTAATGAGACCATACTTCGAGGTGATAGTTTGATCAAAGATCGCCTTATTTCTTTCCCCCCACAAACACCAAGCTATCACCCCAAAATACAAAGGCCAAGTTCGATCAGTTTGAAACGGACCTTTTAATCCTAGATTTGTCTGAATCCATAGGTGAAGATCCATGGAGATAAAAATTATAAACGAAACGACAAACAGAGGCACACAAAAAAATGAAACAGAGGCAAAAAAATAAAAAGAAACAAAACAAAGCAGAGAAGAGATTGGGGTGGTGGTGGAGCATCATTTGCATGCTTGTGATGCTGAGAATCTTTGTTGGAGGAGACCATCAGGTTCAAGCGCTTCATGGACTCCTCCAAATCAGCCACCTCCCATGACTTCGGGGCTCCCAAATACTCCACAAAGCCCTCCGTGGAGAAATTGGAAAAGAAGAAAGCGGAGAAGCGGAAGGACGACCACGAAGCACGTAGGAGAAGACGGTGTAGCAGGAGTCGCGCGACGGAGCAAGGAGGTGGCGGCTGAAACAAGGTATTAGGGTATTTTGTGTTAAAAAACCCATTTATACGATGGGTTTCAGGTCAAATTTTCGGGTCCATGGGTTTTTCTCCATTTCTTTGAAATCGTTAAACTCGTAAGAGTTTGCCAAAAAACACAGCGCTTCTACCATTTGAGTGCCAAAAGCGAGTTTGCAGTTAAACGGGAACGGTGAGGGTGACCAGAAGCGTAAACTCGTTAGAGTTTGCGAGTTTACTCGAAAGTTTGACAACCATGCTTAATACCATTGAATTTTTATTTATTTTTTACTCAGTGTATATTCTTATATTATTCTGTTGTGTATCAAATTAATGGTTTAAATTAGTGCAAATCCAATCACCTCAATTGGCAATTTAAGATGAGAAAGACTTGTCCATTTGTAACAAATTATTCGTTATCGACATCTTTTTTATGTAATGAGTCCATCCTTCCTTCCTTCTTCTTCTTTTGGTGTGGACCATCCTTCCTTCTTTATTTATACTTATATTAAAAAAGTAAAAATATTTAAAATGGCTACCATAATGAGGTCCTATCGATTAATATTATACAAAAGAAATTTATTATAGACATTAATATAATTAGATCCGCTCTTTAGGACTTGTTTGATAGTGGGATTTCTTGTAAATACCTGGGAAAGTAACCTTGGGCAAATAAGAATGTCACGTTTGCTAGCTTAATATGGAAAATTTTCCCGGATATCTTTTATTGCTGGATTTCGTTCTGTTGTGTAAAAATGAGTATGTAAAGCAGCACAAAAATGCCAAAGAATTGTTGGTATTGTTCGTTTACTGGGAAGTGGAAATTAACTGGGAATTTGTGGACCAAATTAACCTCGTGATTAGAAACTTTGTTCTGCCACTGTGATTAGAAACTTTGTTCTGCTGAATACGCACCCAGATCTGTGAAGAAACTTTGAGCTAAAATGACATTCACTTCTCAGCTTGTGTAGGAGGCTTGTGGGTGGTCGAAGATGGTCTAGGTGGTCTATTACCTTGTGATTTTGTAGCAAAAAAGAAAAAGTATGTGCTCAAATGTTTTTCAGAGCAAATGAAGAAACTCCCTCATCTTAAAGACATAATATGAGAATTGATTTGAGAGTGAGAGAGATTTGAGGAAAAATAGACGTTGAAGGCCAAGCTGACTTCAAAATCGAGGGTATCATTGTAAGTTTGGTCTACACTACGAGCAATCTTATACAAGCAATCAAACATGGACTCAAGCAAATTGACCCAATATTGCTAGTAAAATTTTGGTCTACCAAACAATTTCTTGGTAACATTTCCTGGAAAGTTAATTTTCCATCATATTCCAATAATTCATGATTCCCGGATAAAAAACAAATTATCCTCTACCAAATGCTCCCTTATAAAAAAAACTTGGGATTTGTGATCTCAACTAACATGGCTCAAGCTCATGGGATCTTGCATCTGCCTCTCTTTACTTTCTAAAGGGCTTGCACGCAAATAAGATAGAATGCAATAGAAACAAAAATAAGAGAAACATGTTATCTACTTTTAATGGTCAAAGTGCTTTGACCATTTTATTGTGCATTATAGAATTCCAAATGAATAAAATCTCCTAAATAGGATTCAAACTTATGACCAGTCTCAGTTAACACTCGACTGCTCTATTACCGTTGAGCTATCGAGGAACAACAAGAAATTCAATCTCTTAGGCTTTGTTTAGGAGTTGGTTTTAGGAGGGGAAGGAAAGAGAATGGAGGGTTTTAGAAAGCCCTTCCCTTGTTTGTGAGTTTAAAAAAAGGAGGGGAAGAGTTTGAAGAATTTTACTAAACCCTCCAAAACCTTCATTCTTCTTAAAATTAAAGTTCCCCCAATTTGGAGGGTTTGAGGGGAAAACTGTTAAAAATTATTTTTTTACCCTTAGCATTAAAATGTTAAAACTACATAATTGTGAATCATTTTTAAATGCGATATTATTAGAAAAGTCTCAAATACCGACAGAATTTATTGACGAAAAATATTTCATAAAAGTTAGTGATGAAATTTTTGATGAAAATCATATACGTCAAAAAATTTTCGTCAAAACTAAAGACAAAATTAGAGACGGAACCAGATTTTGCCCCAATCACTAACATAAATTTTGTACGAAAAAAAAATCCAGTCAAAATTATTGATAGAATCTAAATTCTGTCGAAACTTTTAACGAAAATATTTTCGTCCAAAATTTTGATGAAACACATTTCCATCAAAAAGTTTTGACGTAAAACAATTACGTCAAAATTTTTTACGGAAAATATTTCCATCGAAATTTTGCGAAAAATATTTCCATCAAAATTTGTGACAAAAGTTATTTATGTAAAAAAATTTGATGAATTTTTTTTTTTGTTAAAATTCTTTACGCAATCTAAAGTTTTCCAAAATATTTCACAAAAAAAGATATCCATCGAAATTTTTGACGAAAAATATTTCCATCAAAATTTTTAACGAAACACATTTCTATCGAAAATTGTTGACGAAAAAAATGTCATCAAAATTCTTAACACAATTTAAATTTGACCGAAAGTTTTCGACGGAAATATTTTCGTAAAAATTTTTGGCAAAAAAAATTTTTAAAAAATTTTTGTCGAAATTTTTAACGAAATATATTTCCCACGAAAATTTTCGACGAAAAATATTTTCGTCAAATTTTTTGATAAAAAATATTTCAATCAAAATTTTCAACGGAACACATTTCTGTCAAAAAATTTCAACAAAAAATTATTTCGTAAAAATTTTTGACGGAAAATATTTTGACGAAAAAAATATTCTGTCAAAATTCTTTACAAAATCTAAATTTCGTTGAAATTTTGAATGAAACATTTCCCTCAAAATTTCTAACAAAACAATTTCTGTCAAAATTTTCATCAGAACACATTTCCATCGAAATTTTGAACGAAAAATGTTCCGTCAAAATGTTTGAAAGAATTCTTTTATGTTTAAAGCATCTGATGGAGGAAATCATTTTCAACAAAACTTTTGATTATTTTTGTAAAAATTTTCATCGGTTGAAAAATTCCGTCGCTTTTCGACGAAAAGTATTCCGACGATTCATCATTTGCAACGTAGAAATTTCATCAAAAATATAATCTTTTTTGGTGTTGTGAAAAGTACATAAATAATTTTTTTAGAAATTTTAAATTTAATTTAATTTAATTTGTAAAGTATAATAATTATATTAATTCTAAAAAAAGGGTAAAATGGTAAAAATATCTCATTGACCCTCCATTATCCTCCCATCCCTTTTTTTTTACTCCCAAACAAGGGAAGGAGAAACCCTCCAATTTCCTCCTCTTCCTTCCCCTCCCTCCCCCTTGGATCCCCTTCTTTTCCTTCCCCTCCAAACTCCCAAACAAAGCCTTAGAGTTCAATTGCCATGATCCTCTACATTCTAGATCTTCCCGTTCCTCTATCTAGCTTATATTTTTCATGTAATATTCAGATCGAATGGCTTTATAAAATTACATCGCTACTTCCACATAATACAAGTAACATAGGAGACATTTGTTAGAGATGACATTTTTTTGTTATTTTGATTTCCTTTCACACACCAAATGAATTGATATTTTTTTATTGGATTTTTATTCAAGGGCATTGATGGAAACTTTTGTACGACAGGCGCACCATATAATATTAAAATTAATTTTTTTTCTCTCTCCAGAGTTTGTATATCAGTCGATGTGTAATCATCCCAATGCATCTACTGTGAGAGTATTTTGGAAAATTTCCAGTATTGATGTGGCTCGAACCTACAACTTCGGTATTGATGGGGCTCGAACCTACAACTTCTTCCGCCTTGACAAGACCGTGCTTTGACCAATTGCAGTTGAAAGAAACATCATAAAAACTTCCCAGTAATTTACAATGTACCATTTTTTTCCATTCCATTGCGCGTTTCCACCATACACTAATACGCATACCCCTTTCTTATCATCAATGACTAGTGAGACACATGATATCTTTTTAGTTTTAGTCTTAGCTAATAACTAAAAATCATTGTCATAAATTTAACTTCATTACAAGTTATAACGGAGCTGACCTTGTGTTGCAAAATATCGAAAATAGTTTTACTTAAAAAAAAAAAAAATAGTTCGAAAGTTTGAAGCTCCGTCAAGGTATTCTTATCCCCCAAACTGGTGAACAAGGGAGAATTGTTCTGAAAATGCCAATCTGGGAGGTCTTATAAAAAAACTAAATGTCATAAAAACTTACCAACAAGAGTTGGCTCAATTGATCGAACAGCCCAGGGAAGAACAAGTATTATGGGTTCCGGGGTACCGTAATTATTTTTTCTTGATTACTATTGAGAAATATAGTCTCACATTGGACACTCCCAACCTTTGAGCTAGCTTTTGGGTAGTGTATTTCAAGGTTTTTTTAACATGGTATCAGAGCGTTCGAAATCTCACTGCCTCCCACTTTCTTTGTAGTGGAATTTCCACATGTAGGTGAGCTTGTATGTTGTCCACCCTTCTTGTGTGAGGAGGTGTGTTAAGAAATATAGTTTCACATTGATTGTATGGACAACTAATGTGAGATTTATAAGGCCTTGAATACTCTCACCCTATGAACTAGCTTTTGAACGGTAACGTCAAGGTTCTTAACAATTACTATGCATAATACTTTAAACAAGTCCTCTCAAATAGATGAAAGTTTTATATTGTACACGTCAGTATGTATTTAGCACCCCTGTACAAAATTATTTAGTTCCACCCTCGGATCAGCTTCCACAAAAACGTCGTAGTCGAATCTTGTTAGTAAATCCTTCATTAGTAAGTTACTTATAAATATCATTATAAATTTTCATCAAGCCTTCTTGACCTTAAAATAGAACCTTTTTTCCCCAATTTTTCTTCTTCTTTTTTTTAAAAAAAGCCTAGACTATTAGTTCTTTTACATCAAGGAAATAAAAGCCTTCATAAATCATAATAAAGAAACAGAGGTTAAAGTCTTTTTTTTTTTTTTTAACATGAGTGGTTTTTTTTTTTTTTTTAAATTCTCCTAAGAATTATAGAATACGATACAAATTCACTTGTTAATTAATTCTTCAGGGGGAAAATAGTGCGTGGTGCATGATGCATAGTCACAGTACTAAAGACGATTGACTTTTCAGTAGTTGATTGGTTCCTTGTTACACACGCTCTCTTTAAAACAAGTAATTAACTAAGAAGCCATTTGTTTGACTTGTTTTGGAGTTTTATAAACATCGTTGTTAGCAACTTAATTAGTTCGTCCTCCACACCTTGTCCCAAGGCGAAGTTGCATTCCATCTTTCTCTTTTCTTTCTATTATACCTTAATCCTCCTTCCTCTTCATCTTCTTCTTCACACTCTTCCTCTCTCTCTCTCTTTCCTAAAATCAAATTTCAACAGTCTTAATAGATCGTCAAAACTTGGGACCCAAGTGAAAATGAAGGTGAGTTTTCCTCCCCTTGATGACAGGTCAATTTTTTATGCAAGAGTTCACCATGGTGATGTTCTGTTTTTCCCTTTTTTTATATGTTTTTTCCTTTCATGAATTTATGACTCTCTCTGCCCTTTATTTTCTTACTTGTTTCATGATATTTAATTAAACTATATGCCTTTGGACTCTTAAGTTAAAATATAATTTGACACCACTTATTCTCCCTGCTCATCCTTTTTTTCAAAATGAACTAAACACATCACCAAGCGAAGCACGGTTTAATAGAAGTTTACATCTTTATTGCTGATTGTTATTTCCAGATTGCTTCTACCTTTTCTCTGTGTCCTGCTTTGTTGGGTGGGTCTTCCTTCCCTTATTAAAGTCTATATGATATAATTTAATGTCTTGTGGTCCTTTTTGTTTTATTGTAGAAAGTGGTGGTGAAGTTGGATTTGCACGATGACAAAGCAAAGCAGAAGGCCATGAAAACGGTTTCTAGCCTTTCAGGTATTAATTAGAGTCCTAGTCTGTAGTCTGGCTGGTAAAACCTTAATTTGATTAATTTAGTAATTTAGTCAGTCATTTTGATTTCCTTTAATTTTGTAACTACTAATAAGTATTGCAACTAAAGAAAGCATTCAATTTGATAAAGGAAAAAAAATGATTTATGGAATGAGTACTCTGCCCATTAATTTGTATGAGACTGGCTTTTAAATGATCACATTTGATAATATTGAACACTTGGTCAGAGCCTCTGTTTTGTTGTTGGCTAAATGTTTTGATAATATTACTAAAGAACTAATAAGTAAATGTCACATTAATAGTTTGATATATCATGTGTACATGGGAACTATACAATTATATTAAGACACAAGAATGGACGTTTTATTTTGTTGCTACTCATAATGTACTTTAGTTATTAAATGGACGGCTTGCAGATATTCATTTATTTATTTAAATATTTGGTCATCTGCACCTATTTAACTATATGCAAGAAGCATAATTTGTACGTCAAATTTAAAAAAATGCAGGCATTGATTCCATCGCCATGGACATGAAGGATAAGAAGATGACTATAGTGGGTGATGTAGACCCCGTCGATGTGGTGAGCAAATTGAGAAAAACTTGGCGCACAGAAATTTTATCAGTTGGGCCGGCAAAAGAGCCAGAGAAGAAGAAAGATGAAGGAAAGAAAGACGAGGGTAAAAAAGATGATAATAAGAAAAAAGATGATGATAAGAAGAAAGACCAAAATGAACAAATTGCCGAACTTGTTAAGCTCTATAGAGGATACAATCCCCACATGACTACATACTATTATGCTCAGAGTGCAGAAGAGAACCCAAATGCTTGTGCAATATGTTGAGACTGATGCTTGAGAAGAAGACAATTGGTGTTTATTGGTGGATTCTATAGCACAAGAGATGAACCAAAGTGGGCTATGCTTCCGTGTAAAGTATAAATTGAGGGTATTAAAATAAGCTCTAAAGGTTTTTGAATGAATAAATTTATGTGTGAAGTGTGGATATCTCTAGGACATGGTCATTGTGGTATGCGTTACTGTTACATGTTTCCCATTTAAAATTTTGGTTATACTTGTCAACTTGATGACTTACTTTATTATGTATAGTATATATAGACCTCTGAATGAGTCTAATATTTTGAAGCGTCTTTCTTGGGATAAGATTGAATTGTTGCAGATGGGTTTATATCATCATGAAACAAGACGTGATGACGATGTTATCATGTTAACGATTAAAATTTGTTCACAAAAACCAAAGCTGAAAGTGACCTTTAAAAACCAGTGGCTTAGTAATATCCCAGATGTAGCATGCAGTTGGAAACATGTCTCTTTCAATAAGAAATTTTGTGGTAGGGTTGCTTCAACAACCGAAGGTTAACTTGGAATATTAAGTATAGAATGTAAGCTAATTCTGTCGTAGTTTCTTAGTGGGAAATAAACCGAGCTTCATAGGTCTTTGAAGGTTAGTGAGTACAGCACGACTTTGATTTACTGCTGCAGCATTGCAACATAATGTATAATAAGCCCATAGCTTGGGCCCATCTTAAGGAATGGTCACCAAACTGACCAAAAAGCTTAGTAAGAAAAAAAAAAATTTACAACAAAATTAAAAACATTAAACCCTTGTTTTATTTGGTGCTACAGTTGCAGCAATTTTGTGTGTACGGTTTACAAAAAAACCAATGCAGCCATTAATGAAAAAAGATAAAAATGTAAGATAGTAAAAAAAGAAAGAAAAATTGGATGGTGAAAGAAGTCTTTTATTATGAAATTCTATTTAAATATCGATCCTCTTTTGCTATATGTTTCTTTATTAATAAAATGAGGGTGGTGAGTGTTTACCCAAAAAAAAAAAAAAATGTGGTAAGAATTTAACTGTTGATCACTTAATCACAAACACTTTAATACCATATTATAAACCAATTTAACACAAAAATATGGAGATCACATTAATAATTTTATATTATATTTCATTAATAGTGTCATTGTTTTAATTCAAACATAATTATCCTAACTCAACAAATTTCTCTCTAAAAATTGACCCATAATAATCTGTTCAGTTCCATGTAGATACTCAAGCTAGTAACTCTGATTAGGAGCTCAGATGATGAAGTGAAGTTCGATTGAAGCAAGCCAATATATTTTTCAATCAAATGTTCTACTTACCAATCTACTACCAATATAATAATTATATATTTTTGAAAGTACATTAAAAGCTATTTTTTTTTCTTTTCAGAAATGTTTTAGAAAGTGTCGGCTAAAAAATAAAATTCAACAACTGAAAAGTGATAATAAATTAATAATAAAAATATTTGATAATAAAAATATCATAACTCTAGTATTTTGTCCACTCTTCAAAGTATATCAAACTGTGAAAACTTCCCTTCTAATTTCTTAGGTCTGTCTTGACGTTGAGAAACCACCGCCTCTTGGCATATATAATAAACAAATTAGCCTACTTTAGGACTAGAAACAGAAATGTATATGAGGGGTCCGGTCAATTTTTTAGTGACAAGCTTTCTCATAATTTATTATTAGTTTTAAGAGCCGATTATGATAATCACAAGAAGACAACTTTTCATTCGCCTGCTATCTTAAAAAACCCTACAATTGTAAATAAAGCCTTTTTATCAATGAGATGATGTAGTCATTTGTGATTAGGTGAGAAATTGGGTCGGGCCGGCTCACAGGGGCTATAACTCAGCTTTCATCAAGTCAGATATGATTTAATATATTTCGTAAAATAGGTCGGACTCAGGTTGTAACACCCCGTATATATCCGGTAAAGTTATCATAATATCGTATTAAGCTGCGCTTAATTAAAATGCGGAATTACTTTTTATTTTCAATTATGATGCCATTAACATTACCAACTTGCTTAATAATCAATTTATTAAAACATCGCCTGTATGTAATTGCAATAAAACAGCTAACTGAAATACCTCATAACATAGATAATAAAAGTGTGGCTCTAGTCATGGAACTACAACAACGTAGACCGGACCATCTAACAGTTTATACAACTCCAAACTAAAAGTACTAACAGAAAGTGTCATGGACAATCCCCATGCTCACTCAATAAGGCAACATGCCCAACATCAGTCTCAACAACAACATATCATAAATAGCGAAAAACATAAACAGCATCCCAAATCCAGTCATGCTAACATAAAACAGTAAAACATAATCAGCTAAGCTCCGGCCTCCTGCCGCCCGAGGCATCAGTACCCATACTACCTGATCCTGAAATAAGCATTCCTCAAACGTGGGGTAAGATCTCTAATCTAGAAATCTCAGTAAGTCAGTGAGTCCTCAAGGATCTTCCACCCCAAGCTCACTTACATGTGCAATATAAGTTCAAAAGCAATTTATCATTTATCATTTCTAAAACAATGCAATGCAGCAGATAATCATGTCATGTGTGTCAATACTAATCTACTGGCCAGAGACAGTGCAGGTATACGTCTATCACCTACACACCGTGCAAGTACCACTTGCATTCACCCCGGTACACCATCTTGTATGGCGCTACATACTCAGGCTTCCCGTCAAGATGAAACAACACATGCATATTAAAAGCCATTACATGTAAAGTTCAATCAACATATCAAATATCCAAAAGCATGTACACAACATGCATAAACCATATCCCCATGGGACATGATGGAACCACAACATGGCTAAACCAAGGACACGAAAGCTTACCTTGCAAGCTAACTCCAAAAGCCAAGAGTCCACAGCTCAAAGTCCAGACACAGCAGATTCGCAATCTGTTATGGACCAACAATACATCAACAACATGCACCACAAGCATACAATATTAAGACAACGCCTTTTCATTACGTTTTCAAGTCTTAAAGCTTCTAACAAAGCCACAAGCCCTTAATCCCATGATTCTGGCTTAATCCATTAAATACAGAAGTTCAACTTCATCAAACTAGGGTCCACAAACCCCCAATAGCCTACTGTACACACAGCACAGCTGCTATTCTGCGAAATCCCAAAATATCCGGATATCTCACTGTCCATATCTGGATATGCAATATCCGGATATACAGATTCACATATCCGGATATCCCCAAACCACGTATCCGGATATCCAATATCCGGATATCAGTTCGACAAATATCCGGATATCTCACGACAGAATGCAGTTTCTGCATTTTCGTGAAGATATCCCAAAAAGGTTCCCTTTTTACCGATTTTAATCACCTAATCATGCATTTCTAGATGTGTTAAGCCTCACCCAACAACAAGTTATCATCTTTTAACCTTAACATGCATCAAGCTTTCATTTTTAAGCATTAAACTCATGATTAAAGGTTGGTATACATACCAAAGGCCAAAACAGAAGAAGAGACTGCTCTTTGGAGCTCACAATCAGCCCCTCAAGACTGACTCAACAAGGTTCACGAAAATGGATCAACAAGCTTTGACCTTTCAACACAAAGGAAGCTTCTTGGACCTCACAATGCCAAAACAAAGGCTTCCACACACAACCAAACCAAGTCAGCCTCAAAACCTCACACACAGCAGCTCTCTCAACTCAGAAAAGACCAGCAATAGAGTCCCAAGGCTAGCTCTCACCCTCACCAAGTGTATCCCAAGTGAAAGTGTGAAGAAAAATCAAGAAAGGAAGTGTCTTGGACCCAAAATGGAGAAGAAACCCCACAAGTCAGCCAAGCTGATTAGCCACCCTCACACACTCACGTAGAGAAACTATTTTCTAGGATTTTGTGCCATTACAAAGGGTATATATAGCCCAAGCCACTTAAACACACAATGTTAACTTTAATTGCTACGCTTAGCATTTTAATCCCAAACTTTGGATTATGAAACTACATAATTTTCTAAGATTTATCATATTTTTCTTATAATTTTCTGAGCACTTTTCCCGTAAGCGCTTTTCCATGCCAGTACCGGTTTCCAGCACCAGTTCTCATTATCTGGACTTGAAACTCGTTTTACAAGTCCTACATATTATTCTAGTAATTATCATGCACTTACATTAATTTTTCGGGATACTTTTTCGGCACACATTTATACCGACTAGCAGAACCGGTATCTGCACTTTTCTTCCGAAAAGCGACTTTCAGCATTTTTAATCACTTATTACGATTATTAAGCCTCATAAATAATTATTAGGGTCAATTATGGAATCCTTTCCTATTTTCTCGTAATTTATTAATTAAATTCCTTAATTAACGGTGCGGGTTCTTACATTCACCCCACCTTTTTAGGATTTTGACCTCAAAATCAGAAACATACCTGGTCGAAACTCGGGGTACTGCCGGAGAAGCTCGTCCTCACGCTCCCAAGTACATTCCTCAAGAGTCCTTCCGGTCCACTGCACCTTGACCATCGGAATGATCTTGCTCCTCAGCTGCTTCTCGCCACGATCGAGAATCTCTAGTGGTCCTACGGGAGTCTTTAAGTTCTCCCGAACTTCCACATCATCCGGTTGCACCACGTGAGACGGATCTGCTATGTACCTCCGAAGCTGAGACACGTGAAACACGTCGTGGATGTTGGTCAGGTTCGGAGGCAAGGCAAGCCGGTAGGCAACAGGTCATACTCTACCAAGAATCTGGTATGGCCCAATAAACCGCGGGCTCAGCTTCCTCACTCCGAGTGCCCGTCCAACACCCGTGACAGGTGAAAGTCTCACAAAAACGTGCTCACCTTCACTGAACTCCAGTGGTCGATGCTTGACATCGTAGTAGCTCTTCTGACGATTCTGCGCCTGCTTCAGCTTTTCCCTGATCATCTGGATCTGTAGGGTGGTATCTTGGACAAAGTCCAAGCCAAACAACTCACGATCCCCAACCTCCGACCAGCAGGTAGGTGTACGACACCTCCTACCGTAGAGCGCCTCGTAGGGTGCCATGCCCAGGCTAGCATGGAAACTGTTGTTATACGAAAACTCTACCAATGGAAGGTACCTATCCCATGCCGAGCCCTGCTCCAACGTGCAAGCCCGCAACATGTCCTCCAAGGTCTGGATAGTCCGCTCAGTCTGAGGGTGATAGGCGGTACTCAATCTCAACTGTGTACCAAAAGCTCCCTGCAGCGCCTCCCAGAACCGAGATGTGAACTTCGGGTCCCTATCACTGATGATACTCACGGGCACCCCGTGAAGCCTCACAATC